GCCCTGTCGTCTGCGCCTCTAGAGATCGAATTCCTGGCCGCCTTGGGGTCAGGCGACTTTGGATATGGTTCTGATGAGACGCCATATCCCCCTCTCTCATTCCGACCACGCGAATCGTTGCGCCGGTCTCCTCCAGACCCTCCTTGCTCATACCGCCCTCGCGAATCATTCCGGGGGTCCCCCGAGTCATATCGTCCTCGTGTCTCATCGCGTAGGTCCCCTCGGTTGTACCATCCCCTCGACTCGTCGCGCTGCTCTCTCGCATCTCCCCCGCGCTCAACCCGTCCGCGCGACCCATCTTGTCGTACCCAGTCCCGATCTCCTCTTTCATATCTACTTCCTCTGTAGCCATCTCGACCCGACCTCTCGTATCTGTCGTCCCTGTATCCATCTCGTCCGCCCTGTTCTGTCTCCCATCGGCCGCGGGAATCGCCTCTACCCCGATCGGCCTCATAGCGAGGGCTTCGAGGGTAATCATCTAGCCTCCTTGCTCGCACAAACAGCTCGCGATCTCTGCGGTCTCSGTCTATCTCATCGTCCCTACGTCGCCATGATTCATCGTCTCTCTCTCTTCCCCTCGTACGATAATCAGTCAACGTCCGAGGATTTCTATCCTCGACACTCCTCCAGGAATCGTTGTTCCTACGGTCCCAGCGAAGTGAATAGGGCCCTCCAGGTTTGTCCCGGTAGGCCGTGACCCCTGTGGCGGTCACAATCTCTGTAACCTGTCTCGTTAATCCCTTCACCATGTCCCGTATCTCCTTCACTTCCTCAGCCACGGCCTCTTTCTTCTCCGTCCAGGGATAATCCTTGAAATCAGGACATCTATCAGTGGCATACTCCTTGTAGAGAGAGAAGTCACGTCTCCTCATCCCTCTCCACACCAAGTCTTTTAATCGTCTGCCTCTGCCTTTATTGCGAGATTTAGGACTTCTGGGAAATCAAGCCTGTCGCGCGGAAGATCTCTAAGTATACTCTTTTGCCTACCTTTGGACAAGTGTCAGATGAAGATAGTACAGCGCTCGACCTCTGAGATCTTCCCCTTCTTCATCAGCACGTCGGAGATCTTTTGGAAACGCATCCCAAATGCCCGTACGCTCTCATCTTCATCTTGAGTCATTGTTTCAAGGTCCTTGATGGAATACTTTTTATCCTCCAATTTGTAAAGCTCAACGAGGTTCGCCTTGTACGTAGTCCATATCACATCCTTCGGTCGGGCTTCCTTAACTTCCCTTCCAAGACTTGGATCCACATTAAATAGGAAGTTYTCTATAATCTCTTCCTCCGACCACTGACTCCGGCTGGCGTGAAGCTCCCACTTCTCCAGATATTCTGTGATACCATAGCCCTTGAAGGTAGGAGGCTCTGAGCCCTTGTGCGTAATAATATAGCGATCCTTGCTCTCGTAAGGGAGTGGATGCGACTCCCCTGTCTGGGGGTCGAAAACTCGCCTGGGCGGCGCCCTGTCTCTATCTCTGTCCCTCCAATAGGAATCCCTCAAANCTCCCCTGTCTGGGGGTCGAAAACTCGCCTGGGCGGCGCCCTGTCTCTATCTCTGTCCCTCCAATAGGAATCCCTCAAATTCTCTCTCCAGTCGTCTCTGTACCTGTCCGCTATGGTGTCCCTCCGCTCGTACTCGGAGGAGCGTCGCCTCGTCGCTTCTCGTCGTCCGCTCGAGGTACCCGTCTTTAGAGCCTCCTGCGGCTCTGTCGCAACTGGTTCGCCTCTCATGTCGGGCCCTCTGTCATTTGTTTGATCAGCCCATCTCAGCGGTGCTTCTTGCCTAATTCGTTCCTTCAGATCCCTCAGTGCTCGATCGAGCGATGCCCTGTACTCCTCTCCTGCTTCGCCCGTGGTCGGTTGTGGCCCCATTGTGTCGGGTTCCATTGGACCGTCAGAAGATGCAGTTAGGTATTCTACCCAACTGTTACAGCCCGACCCTACGACAGTCGCTGCAGCCCGGACCTATGACAGTCGCTGCAGCCCGGACCTATGACAGTCGCGGCAGCCCGGACTTGTTTCCTTGTCACGACTCGCGTCCGCCTCCAATCTTAGCTCTCGACTGCCTTGATTACCACCTCCAATATCCCGTACCGGTCGCAGATCTCGTGTTCTCTCTCTATCCCAAGAATCCGTCTCTAAGTAACCTCTCTTTCGGGATCGGTCAACAAGGCCGTGCCTGTCCAGATCCACAGTACGCCCGTGGCAGGACCTCTATCCTTAAGACAGATTGCAATCCCAAACCTAGCCAACGTCTCCTGATCAACACTCCCCAAAAGTCCCCGAGCGTCTATCTCCGTCCTCCTTGCTAGTTCTTCTAGCCCTATCTGAATCGGTTAGCCCACTAAAGGCCCTCATACTGCCATCCAAAGTCGCCCATCGACCTCTCTAGCTTCCTCTATTCTTCCAAGAGCTTCCAATTTCTATTTCCACTACCTTATGTCCTCAACAGTTACGAGGTCATCTGTCTAACATCTGAGGTAAGTTAGTGCTATAACGACTTGTAACCTCATCGCCGACCGCTCCAATATGTCATAAAATGTCTCAAAGTCCTCACTTTCTCCTCCTTCATCTATCGCCTCTAAAGTCTTCATCGTTTCCTTCCAGTACCGGTTGTGAGCGGCTAACACCCTGAGTATTGCACCATATGTTACAACTCTCCCTAACTCTCCAGCTTTCCTGGCCTCGCTTATCTTCAACCTCTCAGCCTCTCGGGTTGTCTCGTACCATGCCCTTATCCGAGACCGCCCTTCGAAGGGTGTTACTCGGAGTACATATTTTATCCTTCGTCCTCCTTCTATTCCATTCCAAAGTCCTGTCCCCCTTGCCTCAAGCAGGGCACGGCGAAAACTCTGCCTCCTCAATTATGCACAGTCTGGTATGGAGCTGGAGTTCTATGATCACTAACACTAATGGTCCGTCCAGTCTCCCTACCACATGTAATGAGTACCGATCCGTCGTGTGTAGTGCAGTCCCGCTCATGTCCTGTCGCTACTCCCCTGCGTTACGTTGTCTCCCGTTGTCTCGCTCTCTGCAGATCGCTTACTAGTTTCTTCGCGTGATACGCTTCTAGCCTTTACCTTCTCCAAAAAGTCTGATCTCCACGCCTGGATATTCCTGACACGACCAGATCTCCCTGAACTTGTCCCCCAACTTCTTTACCTGGTTCAAGAGTGGTTCTTTAACGCGCTTTCTCACTCTTCCGACTGCCTCACTCTCCTCCTCCATACTCAGTCCACATCTTTCTCCAACTCACCCTCTCACCCTCGCTCTAGCCTCCGCTACCGTCTCATCGTGGTAGTGCTCCGCGCGCATATAACCATGAGACCATATCATCACATCATAGGAAATCGAGGTCTGGAAGGTCACTCGCGCCAGTACATCAGCTCTACGCTCGTGGATCAAATCCCTAGCTCGTTGTCTGCACTCACTCGCCGTCAAGTCCTCGTCTACGTACGCTCGAAGAAGTACTGTCACAGTGTATCCTGTGCTTACGAGTTGCTCTTCTACACGCATCACCGTGACCGTGGCATTCCCTAAGCTGCGACCTCGAAGAGAAATCTCGCGTCTTCTAGCCCCGCGTAATCGATCTCTGCCCGTCTCCTGCAGTACCTAATCAGATCGATAGGCCTCAGACAGTCCACCCAGCTTGTAACATCTATGATGTCGTCTAGCGTCTCTCTACTAGGCGGCCCCCACCTCACACAAATGGTGTAGTATACTTCCTTGAAGCGGGGCGCTAAGCCCTCCTAGAGGGCGTAAAGTGTGTGATCGACTGCTCTCCTTTCTCGGGTAGAGGGTCCACGCTCCCATAGATCTGCCCTATCATGAAGGTAGGAACTCTGAATCGTCAATCCTTTCTCGGGTAGAGGGTCGGATGTGGTGGACCGTATACCAAGCAACTCCTACTCGTCCTCCCTCCAGAGAGTCTCGCCAATTGCTGATTAACGATCACTCTGGCCAACAACTCGCTTCTCCACCAACTCCTGCTCGCCCCTGCGAGCGTTAGCCCTATCTCTAAATTGTGTGTTCTATCCGCTATTAGATGTCCGACCCCGTCTAGTTCATGAGCCCTCTCGGGTCGTTCGTCTTGTAGTATCACTGTCCATAGGAAGAGCCCCTCTGCGAGCCACGTTCCCAAGTATCGTATCGGTACACGCCCTGCCTTTTCTAACGCCACAGGAAGTGGTATGTCGTATCCAACCGCCGTCTCTCTGGGCCCCATAAGCTTCCTCACACTATACGATTCGGACTTTCGTGAGAGAACATAAGCTAACCAAGCCGCTGAATCACTCCTCATTTCTTCTCCTACTCTCGGTCAGCATCACTCTACTCCCTCCGATGCACCCCATCTCTCGACGTTGCTAACCCTTCTGACAACTCTCGCACTCAGGTTCAGTATGGTCAATTCAGTAGCCAGGCCCACTCATCCATCGCCCTGGTGCGCTCCTCTACCTCCTACGCCCGGACCGCTACTCCTATCCTGGGAAAATGGGCGTCTATAATGTCAATCTCCTCCTCGTCAACCTCACTCTCTGGGTCGACCCAGTCTGGTTCCCACAGCTCCTCGTCGTCCTCTCGCTCCCAACCCTCGTCGTCAAGCTCGTCCTCGACGCGGTATGGCGCCTGTCCTATGGCCTGGTAGTATTCCGTCAACTGATAGCCGTATATCAGAGGTCGCCCGGCGTCCTCACTCCACCAGCTCCCCCAGTCGTCTGAGAAGAACCGCCCGATGCAAGTCACGTACTCGGGGCCTGCTCGGAGCTCACGGTCTAGCCAATCCCAAACGCACGAAGACTGGGGCCACTCGTCGTCTATCGAGCGGATCAGCTCGATAAGCTGAACCCTCTCGTCTCCCCAACGAGGCCCACCGGTCGCAAGCGAATAATAGATGTAGTCTAGGTCGGCAGGCCTTCTCGCCAGGATCTTGAGATCCTGATAGGCCAGATATGTCTCAACCACTCCACCAATACCTCCAAAGACGCTCTACTACGAACGTCGGAACTATCGCCCGCAGGCTCCTAGCGCTGTACGGGAAAAACCCGTCCCGTGCTACCACCAGCTCGCCCGTGATATCAAGAGGAGGGCGTCCGTGAAATAGGGTCAACGGGTCGCTCGCGTCCTCCGCTCGGAAAGCAGCTACCTCTTCCCCTAGGTAGCGTAGCGCCCTGCTAACTGCGTCACTAGTCCCTGTCGTCGCGAGGCCCACCACGGCCTCCCTGACCGCACCCGGTCCTAAATACAAGTAGGCTCTCACTACTCCCACTCCTTGCCCCGGCCGGCGCTCTCTGTACGTCCAAAGCCACACGTCCTCGGACAGGATTATGCACCTCCACGCAAACTTGCCGTCAGCGTGTCGAATGCTGCGTCCGGGGATCGTGAGCTCGACCAGATCCCCCTCTATGAGTTCAGGGGGCTCTAAGTCCCAGTCAATGGTTGCCCCATAGACCTCTACTTGCACCCGCGGCCACATTCAACTGACGGCTAGAGAGAGCGCGACAAACGGAAGGTGTAGATTAATAACTGAAATTTCGCGTCACTTGCCTCACGCCTTCGAAAACAAGCTAGTAGGATCACCTGAAACCAGGTTACCGCAACGTCTCTTTCCCTTCTCCTTCTAGGGAATTCTTTTGTATTTTTCAATTATAAATTAAAGATAATGTATTTACTTAAGGTAAAATTTCTTTCTTAGTTTATATATTTTAAGGATCAATTCTTATATAAGCCCGCCGAGTTTGATGCTTTTTAGGGGTAGAAATAAAATTTGGGGATTCTACTAAAATTTCGGCAGCGTTTCACCTCCCCCCGTTGGGATGGGGTTCGAGACTATTGTCCCTAAACAAATGCTACCTACCCAGAACTAAAGCCAAATGAAACAAGAGAAAAGTCGCTTAAAGAAGCAAATTTCCAACGTATTTATAATTAATTTCCCTAATCGCTTTCAATACAACTATATAAAAAACAGTTAATAATTTAAATTAGGAGATTTTTCGAAATTTCGACAGCACTTTGCCTTCCCCCCCCGTCGGGATAGGGTTTGGCCGAAGGCCTCAAAATACCAACGGTAGATGTTTAACAAGAAAGATTATGAACTGAGAAAGTATCTCAATCTTTAGTTAGTTTTAAAGTATTTTCTTTGATTATTTAAGAATTAATTCAATAAAATTCAGCAAATTGCCAAGAAATTTCGACAACACTTTGCTTCCCCCCATTGGGATGGGGTTAAGCGAAGTATCTCCCGAATCACAAAGTCGAAATAATGCCAACTCCCCTTTCTTGAAGAATTTTAGATATTTATTTTGATTTTTAATCGATTTTTAATGATAAATTATTACTTAAAACAAATTTACAACTCCAATTATTTACTTAAAACAAAATTCCCAATTTTGATCACTTTCAATTTGGTCAACTGGATTTATACAAATTTTTCCCATCACCAGTCGGATAGAAAGACTTGTCTCAACCCGGCCACGCACCACCCTTCCCTAACTTAGGGTTTAGGGTTTACCCTAACTAGGGTTTCCCCCGATTAGGGCTTTGGGGTTTTGCGCGCGACCGCACGCCACCACGTCCGACTTCTCGAGGCAGAGAATTTTCCGTCGGTTTATAGTCAGTTAAAAGCCGGGTTCCAACGGGTCACTTTTGCCGACTTCTGTTTCCCCTTTTGTTTCTATAAAAATATAAAAAAAATCACTAATTCCTCTTAATTTTCCCCTCTTTTCCTGTCTGTTGGCAGTCACCACTCGTCCTAACGGAGTCCGTTTTCCCCGACTAAGGTCTCAAATTGTCGGGAAAAATACAAGGACCAACTTTAGTCCGGGCGAGGTTCACCTAATTTCGCTTCTTTTCTTCGTAATTAAAATAAAAGGGAATTCATAATTTTCGGAATTTTAATTAAAAAATTACAAAAAATTCCTTATCTCCTTTTCTAGCCATGAAAATTTTTCAAAAAATATCTCAAAAAGTTCTCCTCGACGAGAGGTCGAACTTTACTCCCGATCTGCCTCGCGCAAAAACGCACGGATCAGGAGATATCGAGGAAAAATCAATTAGAAATTTCAATCCATTATTTTTGGGATTTTTAATTAAAAAAATACAAAAAATTCCACATCTTTTTTTCTAGCCGTCAAAATTTTTCAAAAAACTTCTCAAAACGTTCGCCTCGACGAGAGGTCGAACTTTGCTCCCGGTGCGCCTCGCACGAAAACGCGCGGATCGGGAGATAAGGAAAAGAACAAAATACAAAATTAAAGAAAAATTAAAAAAGATGAACTATACAACTTTTTAAGAGCTAATTAGTTTCACTCTCGCACCCCCGTTGATTGGGGAAGGCCGTGGCCTTGGAGGTGCAGTCCCCTCCCCGACAACGGCGCCAATGTTGTGAGGAAACCCGGGGAGGGGGCCCTGTTCGTCGCTGAAGCCAAGGGCAACAGCGTCTGTCACCCGCTGCGCCCGCTTCGGAGGTCCTCAGCGGTGGTACAGGGATCAGTGGGCGACTTGTCTATCTCGCCCCTTTCGCAACACTTGGCTTGATACTCTTCGTCACGTGCAGAAATAGTATGGTCCAGGAACAAAAATGGGATAACTGGGACTAGCCTGCAGATAAGAGGTGAGGACGGGAGTCCCTCTTTCGGGGCTCCTCCTACAGGTTTTCTGCAGGGGTATAAAAGTAATTTGCCCCTCACAAAAGGGGACTGATAGTCTTCTTGAATTTTGAGGGGTATTTCCGCAAATATCCACAACCAGGAAACTTGAAAAGCAAACATACAAGGCAACTCAATCAGAATAAGTGCGAAGGTTGAACAGCACCCTCAGGGTGATCTTGCAATTTTACTCAGAAAGTGCCCTCGTTGCTCAAATTCAGAACGCCTTGGGTATATGCGACTATTTTCTAAGAAAGAGCGTCGTATGTCTGAACAGATGCAACCTTCGACATAAATGAATCTTATCTCAAGCACCAGACTTATTCAGGAAACAAGGGGGCTTTATTGAAATTCTATATATTTGTATATGAACTCGTCGTAACGAGAGTTGCTTCTTACTATTTGGTGCTATCCCCCTCCCAAACCCGAGGTAAAAAAAAACAAGATTCATAGTATACTCATATATTTATTTAATAAAATAAATTGTCTGCAACTAAGCGAAAAACCAATCGTTCCCACCAGCAGCGGGGAGTGCTTGATGGGCAGGTCCGTGGAACCGTCCGCTCCTCCCAGGAGTGGGAGTACTTGTTTGACCGACCAACAAACCAGACGTCCTCCCCAACAACGGCTTTCTTTGATTAGTTGTGACGTGAGAGTGGCTGCTACTATTAGACTGCCCCACCGGAAGCTGGCTGTTCCCGCCTCCAGCAGGTAGCTTAACTGGCGAAATTGATTGTTCCCGTCTGCAGCAGAAGCACCTGATCGGACTGTTCCACCGAAAGCTGGCTGTTTCCGCCTGCAAAGGATCACTTAACTGGAGAAATTGATCGTTCACGTCTGCAGCAGAAGCACCTGATCGGACTATTTCACCGAAAGCTGGCTGTTTCCGCCTGCAGAGGATCACTTAACTGGAGAAATTGATCGTTCCCGTCTGCAGCGGAAGCACCTGATCGGACTGTT